GAAGAACAAACTGGGGAGGAGGGTGGAGAGAGTGGTGCGGCAATGGGGGAGTGAAAGCCCAGAATCCCTGTGAATGTTCATTGAAACTAATAAAATTTAATAAAAAAAAAAAAGACGAATTGCAATTAGGTAAATCTGCTGTCAGGGACCTCTCCAGAGTCCTGAAGAGCAATGATGTCAATCTAGAGACTAAGATGCTCTTGATCCAAGTCATGGTCTTTACATGCATCAGAGAGCTGGGCAATGATTAAAGCAGTTAGATGTTTCCTCAAAAAGTTGAACAAAGCTGGACAATGATTAAGGATGACAGAAGAATTGATGCCTTTGAATTGTGGTGCTGGATAAGAGTATTGAACATACCATGAACTACCAAGAAAACAAACAGGTCTGTCTTGGAGAGGGTGAAATCAAGTTTTTCGTTGGAGGCTAGGATTTTGAAGCTCATCTCATACTCTGGGCAGGTGGCCAGGAGGCATTGATCCTTTGAGAAGGACATCATGCTCGGAAGGGGGGAGGGGCAGAGCAGGAGAGCAAAGACCCTGGATGAGACGGAATGATACAATAACTAGTGCAATGTGGGTATATATGTCAGAGATAAATAAGACTGGCTCAGAATAGGGCAGGATTCAGAGCTGTTGGGCACAGGGTTGCTATGAGTCATAGGCAACTCAATGCCACATAACAGCAACAATAGCATTTCAGACAAGGGTCTGAAATTTACAGAATACTCCTGGGCCTCCAGAAAAAAAAAAAGACTGATAACCCTATTACAAAACTGGCAAAAGACATGGAAAGGCTTCACATAGAAAGACATTCAGATGACCAACAGTCACATGAAGAAATGCTCAAAATCACTGGCAATAAGAGAGATGCAAACCAAAACCCAATGAGATATACGTAGCAAAGTTTAGCAGGGCAGCAAGCAATAAATTTTGGATAGGATGTGGAGAATTGGGAAATCTCATACACTGTGGGTGGGATTGTAAAATGGTACAACCACTCTGGAAAGCAGTTAGATGTTTCCTCAAAAAGTTGAACAAAGAAACTCTCTATGACCCAGCTATTCTACTACTAGGAATATACTCCAAGGAAATTAGAACTGAGATACAAACTGAGATCTCTGTATACCAATGTTCATAACGGCATAATTCACTAGCACAGGAACATACAAACAGCCCAAAACAAATATCCAACTACAACTGAATGGATCGAGAAATTGTGGTACATTCACACAGCATTTAGGAGCAGCGATTTAAAAAAAATACTGCATAAGTTGGGAGAGACTGGACAGCATTATGCTGAGTGAACTAAGTTTCATAAGGACATATGCTACATAAGATCATTATTGTAAAAATAGAAGGATAACTAGTAAAACATGTATGGGGATCCAAAGGGGTGATGGGCGGAAGAAGAGGGGTGAGGATGGGAAAGGAAAAAACCCACAGGGTTGCAGAGTTTGGTGGGTAGAGGGAGGCAGTGAAGGAAGTGGGAAGGATCCTGCAGAGACCAGAAAAGATTGGGTAATGATGGGCAAGGTCCAATGGTGTTTGATTTTATAAAACATAATGCATGGGAATGATTGCAAGAAACACAACACGAATGAAGACTAGTGTGAAACACAATGTATACGAACTCTGCAAGTAAACCAATGTTGTTGTTGTTGTTGTCATGTGCTGTTGAGCTGCCTTCAACTCATAGTTGAAGTTGGCCCTATATACAACAGCTCTAAAGCCTTCCCTGTCCTGAGCCAGTCTCACTGATTCTGACACACCTACTCCCATTACCCCATTTACTATATCAATCCACCTCATCCAGGGTCTTCCTCTCCTGTGCTGTCCCTCTATCCTTGCAGTATTATGACCTTCTCCAAGGACCTCCTGGCTACATGACCAAAGTATGGGAAATGGAGCTTCAAAATACTAACCTCCAAGGAAATACTTAGTTTCACCATGTCTAAGATAGACCTATTTGTTTTCAAAGTGGTCCATGGTATGTTCAAGACTCTCTCCAACTCCTTAACTCAAAAAGCATAGATTTTTACTCTGTCATCCTCAGTCACTGTCCGTTGTCCAGCTTTCTGATGCATAGCAAGTAACTGTGAAGACCATGACCTGGATCAAGCACACCTTAGTCTCTAGACTGACATAGTTGCTTCTCAGTACTCTAGAAAGGTCCTTGACAGCAGATTTACCTAATGCAATTCATCTTATGATTTTCTATCTGCTAGTATTAATAATGCTGATTGTGGAGCCGAGCAAGCTGTTACTGTTAATAACCTCCATCTCTTCTCCACCCATCATGGTGCTGCCTATTAGCCCAGTGGTGAGAATCTTTGTCTTCTTGATGTTGAGCTTCAATCCATCTTGAAGACTACAGTGCTTGACCTTCTGCAGCAAGCGCTTCAGGTTCTCCTTCAGGTTTTAGCAAGCATGGTTGTGTCTTCTGAATAATGTAGGTTTTTAATGAGTCTTCCAATCCTGATGCCACATTCCTCCTCAGAAAGCCCGGCCTCCTGAATGATCTGTTCTGCTTACACACTGAAAAGGTGTGGAGACAGGATGCATCCCTGATGCAATCCTTTCCTGATTTTGAACCATGAACTGTTTCCTTGCTCTGTTCTAAGGACTACTTGTTGGTCTGAGTATAGGTTTTACATGAGCACAAGTGATGGAATACCAATTGACATATTTTAATAAACAGATGCTTCCCTGGACGTGCTCATCAGGTTGTAATAAGAAATTTGGAGAACAACTACCTGGCCAACTGGCTGAAAGAGATTCATTATTCATTCCCATTCCCAACAGAGTGTAGAAATTACTGAACAATACATATCACTAATATCCAATAACATACTATGACAGGTTTGGAAGCAGGAGTGGCATCCACTTCCTAACTAACATGCCTCTGGAAACTCTATGAACTTAGATAAATGTCGATAGTTGCAGAGGGGCTGCAGGCCTTTTGTTCATGGGGTCATTATGAGTCATGCTCGACTCAAAGGCAAACAACAACAATAACAACATCACTAATATCATAAGCAAGCAAAATCCTGCTGAAGAAAATAAATGACTGGAACAATACACTGACAGAAAACTACCAGAAATACAAACTGGTTTAGAAGAAGTCGTGGCACGTAGTAGAGACATTATTGTCAATGTCAGATGATCTTGGCAGAAAACAAGGAGTACCAGGGAATATCTGTGTTTCATTTACTATAAAGGCATTTGACTCTGTGGATCAGAACAAACTATGGCTAACCTTGAGGAGAATGGGAAAAGAGTGATAATGAATACAGCATTAGAACAGATGAGGGGAAGAATTACCCAAAAAGAATATATGATTAGGCATTATACATATGAGAACAATCTGGGACAAGGGGTGCACTAGGGGTGGGCTGGGGCAGAGGGAGGAAAGGGATAGAAAATGTGCAACAGTGAATAAATTAAAAGAAAAAAGGGGGGGGGGAGAAGATGCACTGCAATCTCAAAGGCACTCAATTCTAATCCATCAGCTACTCCACAGGAGAACGATAAGTAATCTCCTCCCTAAAGATTTACTGCCTCTATCGTCAGTAAGGTTAATATGCAGTATTATTCAAAATGGGTGACCCTGGAGGACATTATGCTGAGTGAAATATCTCAGTTACAAAAGAACAAATATTGCATAGTGCCACTGTTGTAGAATGGGACTGACATCAGGGTTGGGGTGAGACTGAGAAAAATTGGGTAAGTTATGTATACTACATTGAAACAGATGAGGGAGAGAACAGTTTAATAGCGATATATGATTGGGTATTATCGTTATGACAAGAGACCAGAATGAAGGTTGCATAATGGAGCGTGGGGAAGGGGGTGGGGGGCGGCGGCATTGTATATCAATGAAGGAATTTTTGAAGGAATTTTTCTGTTACTTTTCAAAGAGAAGAGCGAACTGGGGGGGGGGGCAGGGAGAAAAATGCAACAATGAATGAGTGGAAATCCAAAATCTCTGTAAATGTTCATTAAAATTAATTTAAAAAAATATTTCCTGCCTCTGAAAAGATGCAGGATCAGCTATGAGTTGGTTCCGACTTGGTGGCAAATAAAAACAACAAAAAAGATAATGTCTAACTGTTTTATCTACAAGATGCAACTTGTTGGATATAGCCATTAACCTTTAAAAGTTTGCAAATAATGAGAACATTTAATTACTCAAAACACTTTGTCTGAGTAAAGTCATGCCATAGCTGGCTGCCCTATTAGAGGAGCCCACAAGGCAAGGAGATGAAGCCTCTTGCCAACAGCCACAAGAAGCAGAAGAATCCTTCAGCCTGAGCCAAGTCTTCAGAAACCTTAGACCCATCTAATACCGTGAATGCACCCTCATGAGAGGCTCTGAGTTATAGCCACCCAGCAAGCCTTATAAACAAACAGAAATATAAATAAATGATTCTCTTTTTTTAGGCTGATAAATTAGGATCATCTTCTATATAACAATAGCCCTATATGGTTCTCCTTCCAAAATCAGGGTATTTATTTTTATTACTTTTTTTAAATCTCCAAGTATATTGGCGAGCTCTGGTGGCCCAGTGGCAAAAAGCTGAACTGCAATTGCAGAAGTGAGCAGTTTGAATCCACCAGATGCTCAGCTGGAGAAGCTGGAGAAGGAGGGATAATCTCCTCCTGTACCAGTCAGATCTGATTTGATGGTACACACACAAAAAAATAATAAAAATAAAAAGACAAACAAACAAAAAAAACCCTCCAAGTATAAAAATATTACAAAATATTTGACCTGTAATTTTCTTTTGCATCTTCCCAAGCAAGTTGTCTGAATTCCTCATACATTTTTTTGTTGAAGTGATCTCTGAGGAAAAAGGACCAGAAACGAAAGAGGGTATTCATTTCTTGAGACTGGCCAATTCCCAAGCGTTTTCTCTCTAAAAAAAAAAAGTTAAAATAATAAAACATATACATATATATTTGTATACATAAATTAAGCCTACTATTTAAAATCAAGACAATAGACATTTTATATCATTTAAAATAAAAAGGAAATACATTAATTCTTCAAATATATTTAGGTTTCTTCTAAGTAGAAAATAAATGCCAATCTAATTTATGACTCACTGGTTACATTTTAGCACAACAAACTTAATTAAGACTACAAAATTAAGTTTAAATATTTGTTAACCATAACATGCCAAATTTTATTTAACACATGTAAGACATAAAAATACTTTAAAAAGAATATATAAATATATTTATTTATGGTAATTACAATAAAATATTATCTTATGCTGGCATTAAATTACAATTGGAAATTTTTTTAGCGCTATATTTTCATTTTAAACATAACTAAGTAAATAATAGGGAGCTTTGGTGGCTTAGCAGTAAGGAGTTACACTGCCATATCAAAGGCATGTGGTTTGAATCTATCAATTGCTCTAAAAGAGAAAGATAGGCAGTCTCCTTCTGTGTTATTAACTGCCTATGAAAACTTACTGAAGGGGGAGAGCTCTTAGTTTATTCAAATTTGACAGTACATAATGAGTATCTTACCACTTAGGCATCTTCGACGATACTTGTGGTAAACTTGTTGAGTAAAGCCATTTTCCTTCAAAAGTTCATGAGATGGATGCTGGAATTTTGGGAATGATTGGGGAGTACATCCATAACTTCCTATTAGTGGTGTACCTTCTGAAGGTGAAGTATTTGAACTGCTGTTTTGAGGAGGGAGGAAAGAAATCCTTTCAAACTGAAATATTAAAATCATGTATTTAAACCTAGTTGTACCTTTTTCTCTACAACAGGAGACATCTCAAACTTTTCTGAATTAATAACATACAGATTTAGATATTAATTGTTATTCAACACACAGGTAAATTTAAAAGTTGATAAAAAGCATGATCTTAGATTCTCACAGTGGACAGAAGCAGGTATCACAAGAGCTTATTCTTTTTCCAGATTAATTTAGCTGAGGTTTACTGACAGTTTTGTTGGTTGTTTATTTAACGATAACACTTGAGAATATTATTATTTTCTTGTTTTGAGTAAGTAGGCTAATTACGTAAATTGAGTAAGCAGAAATGAAGGATAAAGTCTGGCACAAAGGTAAACGCAGTGACTTGATGGATTCTAAAGACATACAGGCAATTTAATTCTCTTGGTCAAATTTACTTCTAAAATTTATCTCTTCTTTTCACCTATATATCATTACTCAAATTTAGGTCTTTCTCCTCTTTAAATTGAAATAATTTGGATTCTTGTTTTTCTAGTCTTTCTCTTCTATTGACCTTTTTTTTTTTAAATGAAAAAATTTTATTCTATATTGGTTCACTTACAGAGTTCATATACATTGTGTTTCACACTATCCTTCAATCACATTGTGTTTCATACAATCATTCCCATTCAATTTATTTTATAAAATTAATCTTTCTAAGTCATTGACTAAATCACTGGTTTTCTAAATACAGTCAGGGGATCCCTATAAGTTTCCCTAAAAAACTTCCAAGAAGCCTGAAAGATTGAAACTCTTTTCATTATAAGGAATTTGCCCTTCCTCTGTGCTTGACCTTTCTACTAATGATACAAAAAAAAAAAA